CTTTTTCTCGCCGGAAAGTTATCTCGACAGACGCATCCAACTCGGGTTGGGGTGCGGTTTGCGAGGGCTCACCGGCCGCCGGCCAGTGGTCGAGCCACGAGAGTTCCCTACACATAAACTGTCTGGAAATGATCGCGGTCGAGAACGCGCTGCTGTTTTTCCTCCCGCGCATACATGGTCACCACGTCCTGATTCGCTCCGACAATATGGCCGTGGTATCATACATCAACCGTCAGGGCGGCGTCAGATCCAAGAATCTCTTTCATCTGACACGCCGCATCCTATTGTGGTCGCAGAGTCACCTGCTCTCGCTCAGAGCGACGCACGTACCGGGCCATCTGAACGACGGTCCAGACATGCTGTCCAGGAACCTGGTCTCCCCCGGAGAATGGTCCCTGCACACTCAAACAGTCCAAACACTGTGGCGCCTATTCGGCAGAGCGGAGATAGGTCTTTTCGCGTCAGAAGAGAACGCTCACTGCCCAATATTCTTCTCAAAGAGCGAGGACGCGCTAGCCCAGGATTGGCCCCGCCGCCTGCTCTATGCTTTCCCCCCGATTTCTCTGCTACGGCAGGTCATTCAGAGAATCAGGGACTCACGCCACTCGGTGCTCCTCATAGCCCCGCGCTGGGAGAATCAGATTTGGTTCCCGGAGCTTACGCGGCTGTCACAGACAGCCCCGTGGCCCATTCCAATCAGAGCAGATCTCCTCACTCAAGCCCGCGGCTCGATCTGGCATCCCCATCCACAGCGCTGGGCGCTTCATGCATGGGTGACCAACGACTACGCGTCGAATTGCCAGAAGGGGTTCTGAACACGATCAAACACGCCAGAGCGGATTCTACCAGAAAGCTCTATGCTGCAAAATGGTCTGTGTTCTCCAAATGGTGCACCGACAAAAATTTGGACCCACGGACGTGCGAGGTTTCGTCTTTGCTCGTGTTCCTTCAGGAGATGCTGGATAAGGGCAGGTCCCCATCCACTCTTAAGGTTTACGTGGCAGCCGTCGCGGCGTTTGTTGAACCCCAGCGCGCCCAGTCTCTGGGCAAAGACGAGCTAATCATCCGCTTCCTCAGGGGAGCCAGAAGGATGAACCCCCCTCGCCCCCCTACGGTGCCGGTCTGGGATCTTTCTATAGTTCTAGAAGCTCTGAAAGCCCCACCGTTTGAACCACTTGAGTCCGTGGAGCTAAAATACCTCTCGTTAAAAACCGTTCTTCTGACGGCACTCGCCTCAGTAAAACGAGTGGGGGACATCCACGCGCTGTCTTCAAGCACCGCGTGCCTGGAGTTTGGACCGAATGACTCCATAGTCATTCTAAAACCTAGACACGGTTATGTTCCGAAAGCGATTGGTACCCCTTTCAGGGCGCAAGTGATCCCTCTATCGGCGCTACCTGCATCCGATAGCGAACGTGACGCTGACCGCCTCTGCCCGGTTCGGGCTCTCAGAGTGTACACTTCACCCGTTGCCGCGTTCAGACGCTCAGAGCAGCTGTTTGTGTCGTTCGGTGGCCGCACCAAGGGTTTAGCCGCCTCGAAACAGACTCTATCCAGGTGGATAGTAGACGCGATTGCCTCCGCTTATGCCGCTAAAGACCTGCCTTGCCCTCTGGGCATCAGGGCTCATTCCACCAGAGGCATGGCCTCATCGTGGGCATGGTCCTGCGGAATTTCCATTCACGACATTTGTGTGGCTGCGGGATGGGCCTCCCCCTCCACTTTTGTCAGATTTTATAACTTGGAAGTTCCAGCCTTACAGGCTAAAATTCTGGCGGTCTAGTACTTACAGCTCTCCTATAGAAAGCCGCACTATCGGGAGTTCCATCACAACCGGCTCACCCCTTGTGTTCCCCTATGTGCTTATGCATTACACGTCACGGCCCGCTTCGCCGGCCGCCTTAGGGCGTTTTGCACTAGATGATAACGGCCGCTATGCTAGCCGCCTTATCATCTTCATCCACTTAAAGATTCCCCCGGTGTTTCCCCCCCTGGGATGCTTAGTGGTTACTTAGCGCGCACGGCGTTGACCAGGTGTTCCCGTAGCGTAAGCTAGCTTACGCAATACGAGAGAACCTCTCGTAAGAGAACGAATCGGTTACCTAACGTAACCTCGGTTCTCTCTAGATGAGGGAACGAGTATTGCGTTCCCGGCCGTGCTAGCGCCACTAGCGTTTCGCTTCATGCTACAGAATCGACGAACTAGCCTGGGAGAGCTACCTTTATACACTGTAGCCACGCCCCTTTTGGCGGGCTGTGACGCAGTGAGCGAGCGCCGTCCGCTCATTGGGCGCGGACTCAGCGCCGCTCTCCCATAGGTTCGTGCATTCTCTCTGAGCGAACCAATGAGCCGCTAGCTAGCCTGCTCATGGTCTGCCTCAGAAGAGACTGCGTTGACAATGATTACAAAATTATGGAATAATTTTTTGGCTTCAACTTCTCAGCAAAGATGAATCTTTCCCGTAGCGTAAGCTAGCTTACGCAATACTCGTTCCCTCATCTAGAGAGAACCGAGGTTACGTTAGGTAACCGATTCGTTTGCACCTATTAAAAATAAGAATCTATTTTGTCTATTTTAAATAAATTAACTTTTTTTCTGGAGTAAAACCGCTAACCCCAGTGTCCTGCATCTACTTTGTACATGTACAGGAAAAAGTGCTGAAATAATCTACACCTTTTAAAAGAATAATCAATTCAATGATTAACCAATATAAAGAATTATCAATGATTTTGACTAAAACAGAGTCCTGAGCGGACCTGCTTACACGATCATGTCATGGAGCTTCGATAGCGATCTGAAGGCACGCACACAAGCAGCCAAGGCTATTTACAGCTTCTGTGTGCAACTGAAATAGACTGAGAGTTGAATTTCAATAGGGGTCTTACAGCTCAACCGCTCTCTGTCTCTCTAAATCTATCTATCTCTCTCCACTCCAGCTGATTTTAGAACACAGGTGTTGACCTTAGCCATTATGAGCTTCTACGTTCACATTCCCCAGCAGCTCCTGTTTCTGCAGCAGTCTTACATGTGATCCCAGAGTCAAGCAAAAATAGGCAAAGGCATAATAAATGTAGTGAGTCCGTTTCAATGTCAAGAAAGAAATGTTCCTTGATCAATCTCCCTGCTGGCTGATATATTCAACCAATCACACTGTAAGATAGATCTGAGCTGAACAACATTTCCCTCAGACTCTAGCAGCGGTTCATATTTAGGATTAGTGTTTGGTCATCTGTAACTTTTTTTTTTCCATTTCAATCCACAGCACCAATCTTCCACCTTTCAGTAATTTAACATCTGTTGCACTAACCATTTCACCATTTTTTTTCTGTCTTGCATATGTCACTTTGTCTGGGTCTGTATATAGCCTACATATTTAAATTAATTAGTTTATACTTATAAATGACATATATACACACACACACACACACACACACATTATATACATAGTTCCCACATGACGTCACAACATACGGGCATTTACCAACTCGGCGCCATTGCTGAGGGCACAATATTAGAAGAACCCATACGAATTAAACGAAGTGAAATGACTTTCCTGCTAAAACTTGAAAATGGTCATCTCCTGCTGGGTCAATGGATGTTCAAATCGTGCCAGAGGTTCTGTTAAATTTGGATTTTACAGTATACCCGTCATCAGACTCAATGAATGTGAGAAAACATATATATATATGTATATATAATATTGTAATGAATACGATTTAATAAGGATATATATATATATATATATATATAATATACAATTAATAAATTTAATTGTACATATATTTTTGTGTGTGCGAGATTCAGGTATTCCCTATGTTATGAGGACAAAATGTCCCCAAAAGATGTCAATATATGAAATCCTTGGGACATTTTTGGATTCACTGTGGAAAACAGCTTTTATAAAAGAACTTTAGAAATAAAAAAAAAAATTTTTTACATCTAAAAAAGCAGAACGTTTTCTGTGATGGGTAGATTTAGGGGTAAAGTTAGAATATACGTATATATATGGAATGTCCCCTTAAAACGTGAAAATAACGTGTGTGTGTGTGTGTGTATAATTAAATCTAACTGTTAGATCTTAACCACACATTAACCATAATTCTACCAAACAAGAGAAAATTCTTGTTGTACGCTAAAATGGCACATTTTAGCATGCAACAAATTTAATTATGTAGAGATGTGTGACCAATATAGTAGACAAACTGCTAATGCACAATCAATACACACACTCTAAGATTACAGGTCACAAGTCTGTTCTGATTGATCAAGCTCAGCAGAAAAAAACAAAACAAATAATAAAACAACTTACAAATCCATAAAAGACATTAGCAAGATCAAATGCTTCTCATATCTTATAGCTGCTCACCTCAAAGTTGTGTCCAGTCTCAAAATTCAGACTTTTTTTCTTAGAATTGTGGGATATAAACTTGCAATTTGCAAGAAAAGGGCAAAATTGTGAGATAAAAAGTAACGATTACCTTTTTTTTTAATTCACTGACTGAAACAAGCTTTTAGGCTATATATAGACACTATAAAGAAAGACAAAAATGACATGAGCATGTAAAATCTGTCCTGAAGCCTTGCTCTGAGATGTTTACAGAAAGACCAAATTAATTATTCCCATTAAAATCACTGAGACATATAAAATCACACACACCAAAAGCACCAACTTCTTTGTCAGCTGTGCACCAGAAAACATTTTCTGTCATGCTGGCCCAATAAAAGCTGGTGGCAGTTGTCTTTTTGCCCACCCCATGCTTTTTTTAAGAAGCCATTGACATTCAATGGCAGCTCTCGCTGTGGGTGCAGTGTGAACAGCTGAGAGGTGTGATTTCACAGGCTGCTGGCCCTGTCAGAGCGCTGAGGGCTGCGAACAGGAGGTCTAGGAGAGACCCAGGCCTCTAAAAGACACCAACAGGTGGAAGGCCGCCAACAAGGGGGAGGGCGACCCATAGAAAAGGACGGGAAGCCAAGCCAGATCTGGACACAATCCAGGAGATGGCGATGGACGAGGATACGCACGAAAGAGAGGAGGACAGAGTGCGCCGGACCTGTGTTTGTCCCGTCTGACGGAATGGGCGCCAAGGGACGGGCAAGTGATGTGGGAAACCTGTGCTGAAACTGTCAATGCTGTCGGGCTGCAGGGCTTTTCGACGCGTCACTGCTTCCTTCTGTTTTAGAGGTTTGGTTTCAAATGTATTTCAGGAAGAAAATGCCATTTTTAACCATTTGACTTTTTATAAAGCACATGCAAAAGCAACATGCAATTTTCTAGACAACAGCCTGTTGTTCACCAAATGCTTGCCAGGCCAGAATGAGATATGGGTTGACTTTATGGAAAGTTGACATGTCCTGTGGTGTGACGCGCTGAACTCACTCTAAACGTATTTTTAAACTGCTTAAAGTTAGCATTTAACACCATCTAAAATCAATCCAAATGATTTTTTAACAGCAAACATTACGTTTTTATGACTTAAAATAAAATAGAATATTTGTACTTTTAAATGTTCATTTGTTTCACTGCAGGGATGTTTAAAATGGGCAAGTGTAAAAAGTTAAAAAGGTGATTTAACACTTTCCCCAGATTCATCAAGTCTTGTCTATAGAAAAAGTCCATGTTATGTGTCAACTTTCCATGTGTCTTAGGTCTTGGCATTAGTATTGGAGTTTTATCTGAGTTGTACAAACAAAGTTGTGATGCACTGTGTGTTTAACAGATCCGGCTGTTGCTCATTGAGACGACATACTTCCTTATATCCCCATATGCGGAATCAATCTATGGAATGTAAGGAAGTGTGTGGCCTCAGAGAGACTTTATCATCACCATTCACACAGCTCCTGAAAACTGCAAGACAATATAAAACTATAAAACTGAATTACATTACGCATTACGTACTCATAGAGAACATTAACATCCATCTTAATGGACATTTTCACAAATGAATATTTAATGATTATATATATATTTATATATATATATAAAATGAAAAATCAGATATATATATATATATATATATATATATATATATATATAAGAAATAAACAAAACATTAAGATAGTTAATTTGTTTTATAACTGTTACACTATTATTTACTTTAAATAAATTTAAATGTATAGTAAAATAAATTATTAATTAAATAAAAACATATAAATTACTTATACAAATTGTGTAATATATAGCAGAAATAAAAAACAGATTGTTAACTAGTTAAATATAACTTTGTTATATAAAAATAAATGTTATATGTATAAAATATAAAAACGATAATTTTAAAGATTATCATTATAAATGTATATAATTATAATTATATAATTATTTATAAAATAAATAAATAAAACATTAATATAAAAAATAAGGAAGAATTTAAGAATGAATATTCGTTCAATTTATTTAAAATGATTTATTTTCAAAAGAACCTCAAATATCATCTTGGTTGATTTAGCGGATTCAGTTACAACGGTGGAAAAAATACTGAATATTATAGGAAAACTCTAATGTTAGATATAGAGATTTTCCAAGAAATCTCTAGTTAAATATAACTAGTTAACTAGTTAAATATAACTTTGTTATATAAAAATAAATGATATATGTATAAAATATAAAAAAGATCATTTTAAAGATTATTATTATAAATGTATCTAATTATAATTATATAATTATTTATAAAATAAATAAATAAATAAATAAAACATTCATATAAAAAATAAGGAAGAATTAAGAATTAATATTCGTTCAATTTATTTAAAATAACTTATTTTCAAAAGAACCTCAAATATCATCTTGGTTGATTTAGTGGATTCAGTTACAACGGCGGAAAAAATACTGAATATTATAGGAAAAATATAATGTTACATATAGCCTAGTGATTTTCCAAGAATTGAGCATTTTTTTAAGTTGCCCCTGGTTTAGGAAGCTTCTGTTTTAATGTATGAATTAGGATCTTCTTAACAACCTAACAAATGAGGTTACAAATGACTTTCTAACGGTTATGTCAAAGTCAAGCTCAGGCACCATTGTTAAACATGTTGATGTTCCTGAGCTCCTCCATGATGACATGAATACTGTAGGGCTCTGACAGAGCACAGCTGCTGTTGGACAGGTGGAGAAGAGCTAATTCTGACCTGACACCGCAGAATGAGGACATACCGGCACATCCATGCACTGTCTCTCTCTGTCATCGTCTTGCAGGAGGAAGATCATGACGTGGATGGACGTCTTCTGCTGACATGATCCTGCATGCAAAGCAAAAAGTTAGATCTGAGATTAATCTGGTGACTGGATAATTGCCCGTGTAAACTGTTGATGTGCAAATGACACGAGTAAAAATCAATGCTTCTCCTCCTCACCTCCATAAATATGATGATGTATTGAGCTGGAAACTTGTCCGTCCTCAGAAACACGTCTTAGTTGCTGGTAAAACGGAACCAAGTCAGGTGTTTGAGAGAGGTTTGGTCCCTTTCAACCAGCTACTGCGCCGTGAATTCAACCAGCAACAGCAACAACTAAAAACAGGTGGATTTGCATCCAAAATATCACAATATAAAAAAGTTTCTTAAATATGTGCTTAATGCATAACTGCCATTTTAACCTATATCACAAAAACACTGGTGTTGTGTATTATTATGTTTAATAGCAATGATATAAAATTTGTGCAATATTTCAGTTCTGCTCTCTACAGGAACGAACAGGTAAATCTTCATCAGCCAAATGTTTCTATATTATAGATGTTTTCTAAATACATGAACATAAATCCAGTTACTTTTTTTTTAAACCAGTCCTGTGTTTTCCATCTTGTGTCTTGTAATATGAGCACATTTTGATAAAAAAAAAATTTAAATAAAAGCTAGCATTTGTCTTTATTCTTCCTCTAGTCTTTCAGTGTTTGTTGCATACATTTTAGTTGCCATAATGTCGGTCTTATCGTACATTTATTTAAAATACATTACTTGAACATATGCTAGTGTTTTAAAATACTTTATCACTTTATATGTTTTTTTGAAAATTTTAAAATGTCAACCCTATTATGTGGTCTTGTAAAGGAAACAACTGATATGAGCATATACCAGCATTATATTCTCCATCTGATAGGCATCTTGTATTTTTATTTTAAAGGCACACCATGTAATTTAGTCAAAGAAAAATCTAGAAAACGAGATTTAAACAAAAAGACTAACTGTGTTGTGCTGTATAACAATGATTAGTTTTTAGCCTATGTTGATTAATGTATCCAAACAGTGGCTCGCTTGTCTAATAAAACACACACACACACACACACACACACACACACACACACACACACACACACACACACAGTGTGTGTGTGTGTGTGTGTGTGTGTGTGTGTGTGTGTGTGTGTGTATAAAATAGCGTGGCTGCCATTGTCGAGGAGAAAAGTTGTCCCCCACTCCCCCAATTTTACCAAAAATTATTTTATAATGTCTAAAATATGTAGGCTACCTGAATGCATACTGAAGCATCTGAGCCAGGGGAACAGTTCATTTGCTCCAAATATAGCCATAATGCCATCTAGTGGTAGGAGTTTCTGAACAAGAAAAATACATAACTAAGCATAATTTTAGGGTTTGAATGATTAGTTACATGTAACGTTACGTGAGGAGAGAATGAGAGTTATTGGTTAAAACTTCAGCTGTTCTCTTTGGGTGGCCGACTGCCTAGTGCCTAAGTTACTAGTCAACAACAAAATATTGAGTGATTTATTAAGTGTTTTTGGCTCATTATCTTGGTCAAGGGCACACGTTGAAGACCATGTGAACCAAAAGAGCAACTTAATATCAGTGCAGGGCCAGGCAGAGATGCCAACCGCAAACATGTTCAGCTAAAATCAATTCTTTCCCATCCCGTGTGACTTCCCTCACAGTACGTTAGGCTCAACTAACATGACTTCTACAATTGGTTGATGAATTAAATATTTCATCATCACCATCCTATAATTAACAATAAGCGTTGTTACTTTTGATATGTAGCCAGGTCTCAGCTTTAAAATTATCTATTGTATTATTGTATAATAATCTATTATTGAAACAATACTTACCGTTTTGGCGCTCTTTAATTGCCGAAACCATAGCCTTTATCTTCATGGTCGGGTCCTCTGGGTCCTATAGGAAATTACATAATAGCCACCCTCTTTCACGCCTGTTTGCAAATCCTTCAAAAGCATATGATAATGCTGTTTGAACTACATTTTATTGACCATTAATGTATTAGTTAGCTTGTGTACTACTAAACATTCGTCTCTTATGCTTTACTAGCTACTACAGCAGCACGAAATAAACATGAGTGAACACGAGCTATGACGAAAGGAACAGTATAACTTACCAAAATCCAATTATGACAGACACCATTTAAATGTTAATATTTCAAAAAAACAAGTAGAAACATATTTGTGATTAAAAGATTATACCAATATTTGTATTTAAAAAATCATTTTGTGTAATTGACAGTAAGTATCCTATAGCAAACAGTTAATTTTAACCATTAATTTTATAGTAATGTAAGCTACCAACGGGTATTTCCTGTATAGTTTACACTACAGCATGAGGTATATATGTCCTTGAGAATATTTTCCATGTAACTGATTGGCCCCAATTAATTGATACTGAATCGAATCGTGAAATGTGTCTCAATACCCAACGCTAGTATAAAGCATATGACCAGCAATTATTTTTTCAGTTACCTTTACTAACTGTTTTGCATTTGTTGTGAAAAGCTGCAGAATCACAAGCTGAAATTCTAACTAGTGGTGTGATACAATGAAAGATATATATATATATATATATATATATATATATATATATATATATATATATATATATATATCAGGATTGTTAGAACTCTGCTTGCAATATAGTGCACAGTAATTAAGTGTTGTACTAAATATTTATTCTTCAGAACGCAACTGTTGTTCCATTTGTTGTTACAAATGTCTTAACTCAGCTATTTGAATAAAATTTAATAAACATCTTTATTAAGAAACCAAAGGCCACTTGACAGTTCTTCAGACCAACAATTTGTGTACAAAAATTAGAAAGCTAATGAAACCCACAAAAATACAGTACATAAATAATCATATTACAATATGGCAAACCAAATGTCATTGGTTTCAGTGCTGTGCTTCTATTTCACTAATTCCCTGATTGCACTGAACTCTTGCGGTGTTTTTCAGTGACTGTGCCAGTTCAGTAACAGAGCAACACTGAACAAAAGGGAGGACCAAATAATATCCTATATGCATCAAAGTGACTGTGTACAAAATGTTTCAATGCGTGTTTTGAATGTGATTTGTTCGATGTGTTTCAATAAAGAGATGATAAACGAGTGGTCCCCGCCTTCTTCCCCGTGAACTGGTTTGCACAACCAAAAGAAAATAGCAAAACAGGGTCTTTCCCACTAAATGTGTGAAAAAAAAAGAATAAACCTTTACAGGTTTCCATGATAATCTCACAGTAGGCATCACACTTTATCTAAATAAAACTGAAGGAAATATTTTAAATTCAAACAAAAGACCCACTAATGCACACCTACATCTCATGAAAGCTTCGAGTCATTTTCAACACACTCACACACAAAATGCATAAAGAAAATGAGGCCTATTTTAGGACCATTATGCCTTTTTTGCATTGTGACAATTTCAAGATAGTTAATCATTTATTCTGTAATGCACTAAAAAAATCACTTACTGTAATACAGTAATAAAAATAAAGAGAACATATAATACCACAATATATACAATAACTGTACAATTTATATACTTTTTTTAATATTACAGTAATGAACATTGTAGACGGGGACAGTAATGTCACAATGCAAAAAAAGAACACCTTCGTATTCTTCATGCAAAACATTCCCTTGATTATGATTTTGTGGTTCAATACGACACTAGCGTTTCTGAACGGTTCTTGTGAGACTCACTCATACGAGTCCCTCTAATGCCCTGGAAAAACTATGAGTGTGCTGAAGGCGGAGGAAACCCCCGATCAGTGCAGCATTTTGCAGTGGCACCCGGAAAATTCATGTACAGTAAATGAGGGAAGGAGGTGCAGCACCTCCTCAAGACAAGGCAACATCACTGTCATTGTGCATAAGTGAACATACAGTAGCAGCCAGACATCTTCAGTGTCATCGAATCCCTCATGAAACAACTACAGCTGCTGACTCGTTGGCTTTATTTCAGTTCTTTCATTCAGCAATTCAACTAGAACCCGAAACAGCAGAGGTGTGGTCAGCAAGGACATGGTCATTGGGAGGAAAAATTATATTCCAATGCATTTGCTTTCTCTCGCAAAACTTTTTTGCGTTCTCCGGCGAAACATTGCTTTTCTTGGGGGAACGGAAGCATTTTTGCAGGGGGAAAGCAAAGCATTTGCAAGACAAAGCAAAAGAATCGAAATATACGTTTTCCTCCCATCTCATTTTTTTTTTATGTCCCTTTAGGAGCTCTGTAGTGAATCTCACAAAACACATAAAAAAAAAACATTAAAAAAGTTCTATTTTGCATTAAAGAAAATGTTTGATTTTAGGATTTATTTTTTTGCATTTTGCCATTTTCATGACAGCAAACAAACAAAATCTTTCTCATTACTTAATGTGAAAAAAACTATGTTATGCTGTGCTGAAATTTACACCAATTTATTTTTCAATTATTTGTTTTACTGCAATACAGTAACTACAAAAAAACAATACATTACAATTTTTTTAATAAAAAAAAGTCTAAAAGATATTTTCACAATGCAAAAAAATCTCTCCTAAGAAACAGGCCTCGTTTTCTTTATGCAAAATACGTGTAACACTTTACAATAAGAATTCATTTGTTAACATTTTTTAATTACATTAGTAGACAAACAATACTTGTACAGCATTTATTAATCTTAAGTAATGTTATTAAAATCAAAAGTGGTATCTGTTAAAGGGTTAGTTCACCCAAAAATGAAAATTCGGTCAGTATTTACTCACCCTCATGTTGTTCCAACCCCGTAAGACCTTCGTTCATCTTCGGAACACAAATTAAGATATTTAAGATATTAAGATCACTCCTGCATACTAGTCCATAGGCTTCTTGAGGGATTGAAACTTGCAAGCCTCGAAAAGTTATTAAAGACATCGTTAAAATAGTCCAAGTGACTTCAGTGGCTCAATCTTAAGTTTAATCAAACGACAAGAACACTTTTGTGTGCAAAAACAAACAAAAATAACGACTTTATTTCAACTATTCACTTCCTTCTCCATGGGCCTGTAGTCAGTTAACGTAGTGTGATAGCGTAGAGCTACGTCACACGTAGGCTCACTATTGGCCGACGCTGGTCATGTGTGTGATGCGTGTGACGTACAATAACAGAAGCTTAGGCAGTTAAACTAGTAACCTGACTCGAGGCAGAGGGAGAAATAAACGAATAGTTGAAATAAAGTCGTTATTTTTGTTGATTTTTGCGAACAAAAAGTGTTCTCGTCGTTTGATAAATTTAAGATTGAGCCCCTGTAGTCACTTGGACTATTTTAACGATGTCTTTAATAACTTTTCAAGGCCAGCAAGTTTCAATCCCTCAAGAAGCCTATGGACTAGTATACAGGAGTGATCCAGCTCTCAGATTTCATCAAAAATATCTTAATTTGTGTTTTTACGGGGTTGGAACAGCATGAGGGTGAGTAAATACTGATAGAATTTTCATTTTTGGGTGAACTATCCTTTTAACATTAGTTAATACACCGTGAACTAACATGAACAATTATATTTTTATTATCTAACATCAACAAAGGTTAATAGATGTTGTAAAAGCGTATTGTTCGTAGAGTTAGTTCGTGTAAACTAATGTAAATAAATGAGACCTTATTGTAAAGTTTTAGC